TATCTCAGAGAATTTTAGCCTATCAGAAAATATACCGGTAGCTAACGATTTTTTTATTATGTATGTTAAGGATGAGGTAATAAAGTGTTTACAACCTTTTATTACTTTGATAGGGATCTTATCATACCCAGTAGAATTGGTTATTTTCAATTTCATTTGTTGTAACGTAACTATAATTGATCGGAGGGAAAGTGGTTGTAAATATATCAGTTGAATATTCATTAGCCTTATTACATACGTCAAATATATCACAATTTTTAGTGTACTTTTGGTACTTTTTGATAAAAAATATTTATTGAAGGATTTGGCAATCATTTTAGTATTGATATATGATCAATTGGGAGCACTCAAGTTCTGTATAATTTCATGATAGGGTTTCCTCCCGGTCAACGATTTAACAATATTCCAAATGGTTTTAGTTCTATTATTGGAGTTTATAATTAGTTTATCAGAATATGAATGTTTGGCTTCTTTAATATTTCTAGATAAATCTTTCATCAATAAATATATTATCGATAGTTGATTTAGAAGTATTGGTTATTCTAGTATGAAGTTAACAGTACTAAAGAGATTGTAAGAGTTTAATAGGGAATTGAGTTGATTCTTTTTATGATTATCAGTGAGGTAATCAATATTAAAATCGCCACATATCATGAATTCAGTTTTTGATGTGTATAATGATTTGAGCACCTCATCCATTTTGAGTATAAAATTACTAAAATTACTGGAGGGGGCTCTGTAAACAGATAAAATATAAACATATGATGGTTCATGTCAAATTTTTACTGCACAAAGTTCTATATCAAATTCTACACAATATTTATCAAGATTTACAGCAACAAATTTTATATAGTTGAGAACAAATATACATGTTCCACCTTTCATAGCATTATTTCTACAAAAACTGGCCCCAATCACAAAATTTTCCATTACAGTGCTGTAAATTTCAGCATTCTTTAGATGGTGCTCGCTAATACAAATGATATGTGGTAGCTCAGGGTATAAGAAACTTAGCAGTTCATCGATTTTAGACTTGATGCAGTCATCTTGCAATCTTCACGCAAAGAACATATAATTTACTGTCCTGCTTTCAGGCTATGTATCTGGGTTCCTACTCTGATAAAAAATCCTTCCTTTCACTATAAGAATTTTATGTGTTACCTTACATAATTTTCTACACATATCTGGCACAGTTAAAGAACACTGAAATTAATCCAAGATGTATGAAGACCTATTCTGCTCTCCAAATCTGTAGATACCAGCATGTTACCAGGAAGCAAGATTCAACTAGAAAGTTTCTAAGTATTTCTTCACTGCTTTCTTGTTTCTTCTTCTTTTTATTTGGCACAATTTTATCTATATGCTCTATACAACTGCTGTGCTGGAAATATGAATGAAGGTCCCTTACTTTTTCTTCTCTACATAAATGATCTATCTAAAACCATCAACAATAAATCTAAACCAATTCTATATGCAGATGACACTAGTATAATATTTAAGAACTCTAAATTTGAAAACTTTAAAAATGACATAAATATTGTATTTGAAGCCTTAAACAGATGGTTCGAAGCCAATTTACTCTCATTAAATTTTGATAAAACCCATTACATATCATTCACAACTAAAAACAACCACCAAATTGATCTGGACATCAGTTATGCCAACAAATTAATCTGTAAAGTACTTGATACAAAATTCCTTGGAATACATGTAGACAGTACACTGTCTTGGAAAATACATATTGAACAAATTATACCTAAATTAAATGCAGCTTGCTATGCGATGAGATCAATTAAGCCTTTTATGTCACAGGAAACATTGAAGATGGTTTACCATGCCTACTTTCATTCTATTATGAACTATGGATTAATATTTTGGGGGAACTCTTCACATAGTGTAATAATTTTTAAAATACAAAAGAATATAATTAGAATCATTACAGGATGTAGAAGTAGAGATTCATGTAGAGAATTATTTAAGAAATTAAAAATTCTACCTCTTCAATCGCAATACATATTATCGCTTCTCTTATTTGTTGTTTACAACAAAGATAAATTCAAATTAAATTCTGATGTCTATAACATGAATACTAGACAAAAATATAACTTCCACCTACCCTCATCAACTTTATCAGTATATCAAAAAGGAGTCTACTTTACTGGCATAAAAGTGTTCAACAATCTGCCACAAAGTATTAAAAACTTGGGCAATGATACTAAAAAGTTTAAATCAGAGTTAAAGAATTATCTACATGCTCATTCCTTCTACTCTTTAGATGAATACTTCAATGTAAATAGAGAATGATGTAAAATTAAGTTAGATTAATTTTTAAGCTAAAATTGCCTGTACTTATGTATGTAACCTTTTGACTTGTTCTGTATCCAAAGGTACTAACCTACTTAGGATTTATAGAATGTAAATAAATTCAATTAAATTCAATTCAATTCAATTCAAAGGGAGTACTCCATAATGCACACAAAATTCCCAGTGGTGTTCTTTGTGCTTCATTAACCCTTCTTGTGGCCTGTTTACACATCTATGGTCTTAAGTGGATTTCATTAATGGTTAATATGGTTGAAAGTCAGAAAACTGTCTTACATCCTTCAATCAGTCTCTCCCATGCTGAATTTTAAAAAATCTGTCCACAGTTTTAGGAGCTGCTATAGGTTACAGACAGACACATTAGGCATTAATAAACAGTGCAATAGTGTTGATATCAATGTAACTCAATCTAAATTTCCTGTAAATAGCTAAGTTCTAAATAACACTTCCATTTATGCTTTCAGAAGCTGTGCAAGTAATCTGAAATGAAAAACAGAGAATGCAGGGAAACAGTTTCCTTTGGTCCCAGTTTCTACTTGAAGTCTCTGCTTCTTCAGACCCCCGTGCATCCTCACCTTCTCTTGTGATGTCTGGTAACGAAGATGCAATGCTGTCGGGTCCCAATCGATGGCAAGATGGCTGCTACCAAAATTGAATTCAGCATCACAGCACTGGATCCGACAACCGCGGCAGAACCTGTACCAGGGACACCATGCACACTGCGAACCATCCTTCTGAACTGCTTTCAGGACAAATGGGAACTCATAGCCAAGACTGTCATCACTGTTAAGACAGAATAGCTGATTAAATTATGGGATTGTAGTTACCCTTACAACTGAGAATTGAACCTATAACCTCCCAAATTTGAATTTGTTTAGTGGAGTAAGGGGAAGATGGTACTATGTAACCAAATCCTTAGGGTGCAGTCCTTGAGAAACTGAGATGCCTCTGCTGGTTATGGGCTGCCACCAGACCTTACCTTTAGTTAGTTGAGTCTGGATCATACCATCTTAATCTAGTCCTCAAAGATCAATTTTTATATTATTCGTGCAACTATGTCTAGATCTTCCACTTGGTCTCTTCCTTACAGGTTTTGCATTCAGAACTGTGTATTTCACAGATTCTAAATAAAATGAAAAGTTTTTGGTTCTTGTAACATTGTGTTTTGACTCAATCTTCGATCAATTCTATCTGAATTTCATCAATACCTAGCAATTTATATCTCTTAAGCATTTCAATATCAATTTCAACCACTGACAATAACTAAATTCAGTTAATAATGGCTCATGTGTATGCACTTCAGTGAGCTTAGTACCATTTATGTACATTAAATAGCTGATTTTACTACCTACTCAAAGTATCCTGGGAATCTGTTGGTAGATCAGATATGATTCTTTTATAAACGCATACACAGTAAAACCCACATTTAAGAATTAATTGGGTAGCAGTTCATTTGAACATTAAAGAGAAGGAACAGCTTAATGGAGGAAATTTAATGGTGAGCAGCAAACACTGGAATTGAACATCATATGGTAGAAAACCTTAAACTGAGGAACATTAAATTGGATTCCATTTAGTGTAAAAAAATTTGGTTTCTATACGTTTCTTTTCCCTTACACTTAAACCAGCATATAAGTCATGCCCACACATCTGTCTCTTCACCCCATTTCTCTTATCACTGTCTTGTCCCATTGCAGTATTCAATGCAGTCCTCTCTATAAGCATAACCTCGGTCAATGGCCGGCTACAGCAGAAATTGTCAGGACTGAAATTGCTGCATGGGGACACTTTAACTGCACATCCAGCCCACTAACTGGAAGAAAACTGTCCACATTACAAAAGTGACCACTTCCCCTAAATCTACTACTAAGCCTAAAATGTGTCAAACTCTAACTGCATGATAATGAACATGTATGAAGCAATGAATCAAGCAGGGACTGAAACTGAGGAGTTTTATTTACACACCAATCCTGGGCATGATTTGGGGCTGCAGTCTCAGAAGGAGGTAGAGGTGAAACAAGTCGAGCCACTTGGACCCACACAGCTTGGTACAGATCCTGATGAGTGGTTGACTCACAGCAAGGAACGATGAGAGGCAGTCCGAATAAGCTTGGCTTGGTCTTTTGTGAAGACATGAAGTACACATCCTGTCGAATCTAAAACCAATGTAAATATTAAAGCCTCAAGAGATTTATGCTTTGTGCAGCATTTGAAAACGGCAGTAGTAGACAAAATTTATCTATGCTGAAAGTGCTATATATTTTCCCAAATTTATTCTGCTTTAAATAAAATAGAAGGTATAGTAATTTTATGGCTACTACGGTTTACCCACTGAAATTTTAATGGAGATGCACAAAGATATTATCTATATTTCAACCATAAGAGAAACTCTGCTACAGAATGAACTGAATTAGCTTAGATCTAACCTGTACTTAAGAAGCCAATGTACATATGTTTTCTGTGCAAGTACTAAAAGTGTCACAGCCTATGGCTGGCCTTGAGGCTAAATCTGTTCAAGTGATGCCATGGCCATCATATTTATGCACGTATGCATTACTGTCATCTCAAACTTCTGTGGGCATTAAAGTTTAATGTTATAATTAAACTATACTGAATATGAAGACAGCATTAATATGATCAGAAAATCAGAAAACTTCTAATTGAAATTTCTAGGGGAATTACACTACTTCTGTATGAAACTCAAACATAATTGGCAAACTTGTCCTCCAAAAGGGATAGTTTGTACATAAACATCAAAAAGCCTGTCATATATCTAGTGACCTGGTCAAGATTTGAACCATGCACCTCCCGAGTACAAGTGAGACGTTACTTCAATGTACAGGGAACCAAGTCTACCAACTACTCATTTCTCTATAAACTTGTCATGCTATGTCATATGATACACAGGCAAATTACCATTTTTCGGTGCAAAGCAATAATAAAGCCCTGTGCTGGGCCAGGCAAAGTTGTCACAGTGTCTGTATCACTTAGTCCAGCTAAACTTCCTGAGCTTGCTGAGCTGTTCCCACTCGACTGTCGGAGCTGTGACACGGGTGATAGCTCATCCACTATTCCTATACCAGTGCTTGGTGCCGGTGGTACAGGTGCAGGGCTGGATGAAGATGACTACAACAGGAGCAACCCCATACAATGCACACCAACATCTACAAAAAAACTCCAAGACAACTATGCAGCAACTTAAAATTATACATCCCATACAATATCCAGTATCACACTTACTGTTTCTAACATCAACTGCTGAGTATCTTTGACATCCCAGATGCAAGTTCTGACATGAAACCAGTCAGTGGTACAGTACAAAGTCAACATTGTCAATGAACAAGCATGATCCAATTAAACCCTTATTTGATACAGCATACTTATTTCTACAATTGTGCTTATGTTCATTACATCAGAATCAAATATCCAAATTAACATTCTGAAAAATAACAATCATGTACTTGAAATAAGCCTAGTTTATCTTTCACATATGTAGTCAGATTCCAAGTATTAGAAATAAACTTCATTCTTCCAATGACCATACATTCTAAACATGCGTATGCATCTTAACATTATGAAAGACTGCAGAAGATTTCAAAAGTTCCAACTTTATATAAATTATGAAAATATTTAATTTTTTCTTGACCATATGTCAGATTGATGGCAAAAAAAAAAAAAAATTGAAAACTCCGTGGCTTTTAGTCCACAAGCAAACTATACTGACCGAGCAACTGCCACTTGTCTGTGAAATTAGTGCCAACATTTGCTGACAGAGGGTGTCACACGGTCAGCACAATGGATTCCCACAGCCACTAATCTCGGTTTCCAGACTGGAACTGACACATTATTGCTCATCCTCAATATATGACATTTTCTTCATTACAGCATACTCTGTACATATGGTTTTGGGTTCATCATCCAAGATAATTCAGTGCTGTGACTTGCAATGAAATAGTCATCTGTATTCACTTCAAGGAATGAATCTGGCTGATTCAGTGGTAGCCCCAAAACACTGGATGTCACAGCTTAGGTACAAAAATTTAAATCAATGATTCTATACATGACACAGAGACATGCTATGACATTTTGAATTCATACATTTCTTCACATCAGTTGTTGTTCACTACCCAAGGTAACAGCAGTCAGGCCTTGTTCAACTTTTTTCTTGTCATCTCAGTGATTTGTGCTGCCATTTTTTTTTCTCTCTCCATTTGGTACTAAGAATGATTGCTGCTTCAGTATTTTCCACATTTTGTCATGTCTGTTATATAAAAAACTACGTCGCCTGTAGTCTGCAAGTGAACTACATCAACCGAGTGACCACCGCTTGTCGGCGAAGTTAGTGCCAACTTTAGCTCATAGAGAGTGTTGTGCAGTCAGCACAATGGATCCCCACAGCTGGTAATCTTGGATTTCTAGACCGGAGCTGCCATTTCCTTGAAATATCTCCTCAATTATCCTCACGAGGCTGAGTGGACCCCATTCCAGACCCACTACTTCTCAGAAAATATGGTAGTGCCAGGAATTGAACCCAGGACCTCTGGATTTGTAGCCTGGAAGGCTGGCCACCAGACCACAGAGGCCGTATATTTGTTATATACTATGCTTTTTCAGAATAAACAAGATCTACACAGCGCCACATCCCAGAAGTCGACATTCTCCAAAGTCACTGCTGTGAAAACCCCAGATCTCAAATAATATTAAAATGTAGGATTTCACCTCAAATCCTACATTTTAATATTATTTGAGATCTGAGGTTCCCACTGCATTGAACATTAATATTATGGTCTTCTGGAATATGAAGCTGTGTGGACTCGTAAAAAGGTACCAGCACTGTGCAAGACACCACTAGCCTCCCATTTTCTACCCTGCAGACAGAGTCAGAAGGTTTCACTGAAAAGTTGGTATCCAAATCATACAGCATCATGTCAGAAAACTGTAACCTAATATGTTATTTCTCAATTACTGTTTTCAATTATAATTTATTCCCAAGAAGCTGATAATCAGTTTAATTTTCTACGAACTGCAACATGTTACTACAAAAAATTATACCAGTAAAACCATAACAAAGTTTATGTACATAAACACATATGCATGCGTTCATAATCAACTTCACAACGTATTATTTTATTTGGTGTGCTGCGAGATAATGAACTATATTTTACTGTGATGCCACATGGAAAAGGTTGAGAAACACTGAGGCAGAACACAAATTGGACACTAGAAGCAAATAGTATAAAGCATGCTTCAAGTTCAGGATATCCTCACTTCTGAACACACACTGTTCACAGGAAATTGCTGATATGCTTATAATATGTGTCTGTAAATTGTACACAAACACACATAATTGTGAACGTGCAACAAAATCAATGGGCAGGTGGGCAGGTGAGATGAACTAGTGTGTCAACTTCTAGATAACGATAGACATGCAAACGACTTCTGTTTTGTGATTTCACAATGCTGTATCATTCTATACAGTGCTGAATTGCATAATTACTGAAGAATAATGAACTGGACAGGATTTGGAAGGAAGTGTCATGGCCTAACTGAGGTACTACCTTAGTAGTATCCTGGTGGGACTGAGAAGAACTATGAAAAACCTCAATCAGGACAGTTATATCCAAGCTGAGACACCTCATGAATACAAGTCCAGATCATTACTGTTACACCAACATGCTTGGTACCCTGCAGTTCTTAATTGGGATATTCTGCAATAGGAAAACGTGTATCCAAGCTGGAGGTCATCACTCTGAATGTTTATTGTAAAATGAACTACACAATATAAGAATTTGTTCATGACAACCGTTTAGTTATGTGTAAATCATTCTTGAACTTCACACCAACATCACAATAAATGCTGAAATCCAAGATATCAGAGCTCAGACTAGAAATACTCTCAGGAATAAATGCTTAAGCATCCTGTACACTGATGTTACTTTGGAACTGCTTCAGTGCTTTAGGAAAAGCTTTATCATCTTACAGGCCCCACAAGGTAGATACTATTTACTTCTACAAGAACCTGGAGACAGAGCCATCCTGAAAAATTAATATATAATTTTAACCAGATAATAGATAATGCCCAAAGAAAATTCTCCTGTGATGAATCGTATTAATAAATGAAAGCTAAGGGAAGACACACAGAGCTTAGTCCACAGCTCCGGTCTTATTCCTTCGTCTTAACAGGCGCAGGCAAGCAGGTGAACACGCACAGACACACAAACATAATATACACCAAACAGAGCTGTAAAAGTGCATAATCCAGCAGATGTACATTAACTGCATAACAGGAACTAAAAACATAAAAACATTAAGTTCAGCTGGGTACTTTTAAAATACAAGTACTTCCAGACTTATGGAACATTTATACACATTTTATACTAACATGATAACTTCTTCAGTGAAGAGTAAAAAATAATACAATTATGCATATAAAAATTCAACTTGCAAACTGATAAAATGAATGGTATTAAAGTTAACTGAATTGTGTACTTTTTAATGAAAAGAGGGCTGTGAAACTCAGGGAGTAACAAATGAGCAAACACAGCACACTGTGTAACAGTTCTTGGAAGGAAACTATCATGTAAGACAAGGGATACCATTATGACAGCCCTTGGTTTTCAAATAATTTGATTGAGGGAAACATGTTTGCTTTGCAGTGTGGTCCATTCACCTGTCTTCTAAGTTGTATGAAATGTTTATACTGATGCTACATAAAATATGAGACTAAATTATAAATACATCAGCCAGTTACAACTGGCATTTCACTTAAAAACCCAAAAGAACATTTTGCAAAGTATTTGTTACATATTCATACTTGCAGAAAACAATTTGTTGATTTTTAGAGGAATGTTTAATTTTTACATATGCTGTTTTTGAAAATAATGGCCTTAAAAGTTCACATTTTCAAAATCTCTGCTGGAAACTACCAGTATACATAACACACCTCCACCGTTTAGGTCACACAACATTAACAACTGACAATATTCTGCATCCCCTCTTAACACTTATAAAAATCATTAATGTACTATTTTATCTTAATTTCTGAGTTAAAGATCATGAGAGAAAATATCCCTGTTACTGATGTTTCACACTTCATTATGACAGAAATTTTCAGGACAATATTGTGTACCTATAGGTATTTTCATGTGCTACATCAAGAGAATAGATATTTAATGTCTACTCAAACGAGTGGATGATTACATAACATGGAAAGAAGTCACAGCTTATTTTAACATATTATTCCTGTATTTGCACCTCCAACAACTATGAAACATCATGCATAAGTTAGGATAGCCTAAACCTCAACAAAATTTAGAACAAACTACTTCCTGAACCCAAAGCTTATGTATCACTGCTCAGCTACCCTGCTTAATCATACTGTGCATTATAAAGCTGTATTAACATTAACATCTCTAAAAGAACTGTATAAACAGAAACACAGTAGCTTTCACCACTCATTTGTCCATGTCCTTTTGATCTGTTAAGTACCCTGAGTTTCCCAACTTCAATTAAATTAGGTTAAATTATAATACTGCAGAGAAGTTATCTTAGTAATGAACTGGTTACGTGTCTAAACAAATGACTGCCAATAGGATAATTAAAACAAAGTTGTATGGCAAATACACAAAGGCCATCTAAAGAAAGCTACACCAAATACTAAGACCACAAAAATAGTGTATACTAGCAGGCAATCCATTATTAAAAGAAATAAAAACTACTGCCAACCTGGCTTATGGCACCTGTTCATTGCCACCAGCAAAGAGCTTAACCACTGCATACACCATGGTAGTGAGTTTTCAGTAATATTTACAAATCAGAATGTTTTAAATAATGTTAATCTTCATTAGGTTGAAGTACACGAATCAACAACCATACATCAAGCAAATTGGATAAGCTTAGCAGGGCAAAGAACCTAGACAATGCAATTACAATAGTGACGGTGTGAGGAATATATACAACTAATTTTAATTAAATACAGAAGATATGATGCTGTGTATGTCCAAAATTGCTTCTGTGTTATGTGAGAAGGCCAAAGAGCAACAAGAAAATAGCATAATTTCCAAACATTCTACTAGAAAATTAAGTGGAATAAGGTAGATTAAGCTAAAGATGCCTAAAAATCACAATACAAAAGCATTTTGAGGCATAATCGTAAAGTCCTATGCATACCAGGCCTTGGCACTAGATGAAAGCTTCCTCAGCTTCCTGCTCTGGTCACCTTTAACCCCAGAAAAAAAAAAACTCCTACTACCCATTGGATAGAAGATTAAGCAGGTTTCAGGGCCATTCTACTACACATTTTGGTGGAAAGAAAAACCCTAACAACTTTGTTCAGTCCGTATCTCATCACCTGACTGACTGTGCTGCCATGGATCTAGCTGAAAATATACACATAAATATAACCAAATTCCCCTAACGCAACCACACTCCAAGAAGAAATTAGAGGGGTCACAGTCCTCTTTTTACAGTGGATGTTCACTTTACACACCATACATTCAAAAAAAAATTTTTTTTTTTATTGTTTTAGTACTGTTGATCTGACTTAGGATAGGGACCAGTGGAGGGCTCTTGTGATCTTGGTAATGAACCTTCAGGTTCCATAAAACATTGGTTTATTCTTGAGTAGCTGTGCAACTGGAAGCTTCTCAAGAAGGCCTCAGCTCCATGAAGTTAATTACAATTTTAATGCTGAGCCATAATTTTGTTCATGGTCATTAACGAGGTTCTGAAATAAACTAATACATGTATTTATAACATATTAACATTCTTGTACTGTTAGTATTAATTAAAGATGCAGTCAGCATTCCAAGTTCAGTTCCTGCTGCTGCTGCTGTGCTTTTTTATCATTAAAAAACTTCAAACTCTCTCACATGGCATTTATAGAGCTATAAAATCATGCGACTTTTATTTTAAATAAAAAAACAGGGTGTACTATACTAACAAACAAACAAAATGTAAAAATAAACCTGGATTGAACAATGTCTGGGAAAGCGCACATCTGGAAACTGTGGCATATCTACAACTTGTTTATCTGTATACTGACTCTGAAACACTTCAACAGGAATAACCATTAGACTTTCATATCTGCACATAATTTATTCAGTTTTAGATTTCTGGTGAGTGGGTTCTACTTTTAAAGAACATTTTTTAATGACAGAATATTTAATGTATGTCAATATGCATGCACAATGTCTTTGCTATTATTCAGTAGGAGGATAATGCCTAAAGGAGATATATTCTTTGGAACTATTCTCACTGTAGGACTTGCCCAATGTTGTCTCAGTTGGAATGAAACTATCATTATACATTCTAGTCAGATATGCTACAAGATGACATAATGGAACATGATTCTTTGTAGTGATAGGGTCAGCAAAAAAAAAAAAAAAGCTGCTCTACAGCAACCATGCAACTAGAATCAACAAGAAAGCATATTACACTACTTTGCAGTGGTTAAGCCCTTGTGCTGAAACAGTACCAGTAAACAGAGCTGCAAAAATAGGGACCAGGCTTGGTTAGGTATGACATTCATATACAATAACATTCTCTTATCAACGAGTAATTCAAGTCTTAAACTTGTAATTACTGCACGCATGAAACCTGAATATTAATGGATAGTACCTAATTATTAAGCTGTGTGCAACTGTTCAAACATCCCTCAATTCAGGCAGAAATCAATATTACAGAAACCAAGTGACTGATTTTCCTGTAACTTGGTACAAACATCCTTCACTAGACATCATCTCACCCTGGTACTGTAACTCTTATCATCAGTACCATCTAGGCAATCAGAGAAACTCGTAATGTGCCAACAAAATTAATGTCATACATTGTAGGGTTTTTATACTGGGATATCTTTGAAATATATACAACTTTCATTATGCAAACTTCTTTTTAAGTAAAATGAGAAAAATAATACAATGGCATAAACTATCTGGATGTCATAACTGATGAGTAACTGTAATACAACATGAAATTTCCACAGACAGGTTGATACAGACTCTATACCAACACATAGATAATGCTCTAGATGCGTATTCAGTATGCACTTGGTTGGGGCCAGTTTCCCATGGTCTTCCTCAGTCCCACCAGGTAAATGCTGGGATAGTATCTTGACTAGGCCATGACCATTTCCTACCAAATCCTTTCCAATTCATAATGTTGTATTTTAGCGTCCTGTTGCACTGATTTTCATCCATTATATGTATACAGTGGCCGTCTTGTAGTGCACTCAGTTTCACCTGTTACTTCACGACATGTTTTGGCAACATAGTGCCATCATCAGGTGCCCTAATTACGCTAATCTATTTCATTGCTTGCCTTTATATATCTTTATAAAATTATTTAAAAAGTGCATATCTGTCATCTATAAAAAATTTTCACAACAAAAACTTGTTAAGATTATTCATCTTATGTGTCTTAATTAAAACTTGCGTGTGGTTCTTCCACTATGGGGTCGTTTTCTTATATTCTGCATAAACTGTGTCTTACAACACTCGCAGCTAAGAAGGGAACACACATCACAAGACACGGTTTACACAGAATATAAGAAAAACGACCCCATAGTGGAAGAACCACACACAAGTGTTAATTAAGACACATAAGATGAATAATCTTAACAAGTTTTAGTGTGTGAAAATTTATTATAGTTGACAAATACGCACTTTTTAAATAATTTTATGTATATAAAGGCAAGCAATGAAATAGATTAGCGTAATTAGGGCACCTGATGATGGCACTATGTTGCCGAAACATGTCGTGAAGTAACAAGTGAAATTGAGTGCACTACAAGACGGCCTCTCCAATTCATTAGTCATCCAACCATATAACATATACAGTCTAACCTACAAAAATATAAAAATAAAATCTGTTTTGTGATATATTTTTAACATATAAGAGCTGGTGAATTAAGACCTAGAGTCAAAGCAAATGCAGTGACCAGAAAGGGAGATAAAATATCGGGCAGGAGAAACAGCCCTGTTTACTGGCTCCAAACCATTCAGTAGAGTAAGGAACACCATACCTTGAAGCATGAGAATGCAGCAGGCATGCAGAAACTGTGGTGCCACCTTACCTCCACGGTGGGGGCAGCTGGCACTGAAGGAGGTGGAGGAGGACTTGTTGACAACACAAGAGAGGACTCATCTATAACACTTTTATTGCTAACAGGTTGCTGTTGTAAACAGTCGACGTCTCCGTTACTGTTGCCCATTTTTGTTAATCCTGCAATAATCATGTTCAGGATGAGGTATAAGATTATGAAATCACAAACATTATAAAACAGACATGTACAAATCAATCTTGTCATCACTATACAGTTTGTATGTGTCTATTTTTTTAAGAAATCTTTAAAAACATCAATGTTAGTATACAAATACCAACTTTCAGCAGACACATAAGAACTCAAGACAGTGATTTCAGACTTCAATTACCCATTATGTGGATTCTGTATACACATTGCAGAAATATCAGTTCATGTATCCAACCAGAAGATGACATTTACATTCGGAATTACAATACAGTACCACTTGTTTAAAGTGAATCAGGATTAACTGAGAATAATTTTCTGGTTCTGAGAATGTAGAATGAAAGTTAATGTAAAATCACGGTGAAAACTGATGTAAAATTATCTCAAGTCAATGGATATTTTTAATGTGGAAAGTAAAGTAAAATTTTCCCTATGCTTAATTGATTAAGTGCCATGCCATGAAGATGTATGGGAAAGTAGAGGCATAGATCTACCATTCTTAACCTTGGCACTAGATGCAAGTCAACTGTTAGCATCATGCATCTCCTGCATCACTCCGAAAGGGCCCCCGCACACATTAGATAGGAGGCTGGGTGGGGCCCCTGACCTAGCCTGGATGCTGTGAATAAAATACAATAATCTCTTGCCCCTGCCAGGAATCAAACTCTGATTCCTTAGCTGTATTTAACATTGAAATAGAAAGTGAAAACAATGATTAAAGAAAAACCTTCTAAAATATTCCTTTTGTTGTACTTACATAATTTTGCTTTGTCCCATGTTTCTTAAAATTTACATTGCAGAGAACAAATGGGAAATAATAAAGTTTTTATCAATAAAATATATGCAAACAATTCTGGTATGTGAATGACCTAAGAGGACGGTAGGAGGAAAAAAACAGAGAAAGGAATAAAAAAAGGGTAAAGAAAAAGTGAACAGATGTACTGCTCAGTAACAATTCACTGTAATGTAACTAATTACATTCAGTTGTTGTTTACTTTCCATACAGTACGGACAATTCTTCGTAAGATGGGGCACCGACTATATAATTAATTAATTTGCAACATCATGGGCCTCATATGCATTCTTATATAAAAGAAATATCGAATTTCCAATTTGTCTATGGAAACACATGAAAAGTAAAATATGGAATCATTTGATGTTATACAGTGCGTACAATCAAGTGCGCGCCGCGGCTGCAATTTGCCGTGAGTCATACCACCGCAGAACGGATGCAGTCGCAGGGAGTGTTGCAACTCCTCCCCGTGACTGCATCCGTTCTGCGGTGGTATGACTCACGGCAAATTGCAGCCGCGGCGCGCACTTGATTGTACGCACTGTATAACATCAATTATATCTTGTTTTATACAATAACTTTTAGTTTTTTATATAATCTGACTTATTGTATTTTTATGCAAAGTATTTTAAATGATTAATAACATTGTATCCAATCTAATGTACTGCAGTTCAATGGTATATGTTCGTTAATATGTGTCTGCCTGATGATGGCCATTAGTGGCTGAAACATGTAGCGAAACCATAGCTGGGCGCTGACCTTGATTTTTTCTGTTTGTTGTGTTGTGACGGTCAATAAAGAGTTGTAATTACATAATTTATGGCTATGCAAAATTCTTCATCTAGAAGTACTAAATGCAAAACTGTCTGAAGCAGAAAAATGTTTGGGACCCTTAAAATTCCTTAAACGGCAAATTAAGAATCATATTGGTTCTTGGGCCACTTATTTTAAATCACTCAGTGTCTTCCTTCATTCAGGACCATGGAGGAATACCATCACTGGCTGCCATGAAAAGACAGATGGAGAACTCTTCAATCACATGAAAGGCAAATTAACAAATTTCAGTTTCCATCTACTACAAAAATATTCCCAGTTCCTCCCCTCTCCATGTCCCACAACAGAAGTGTAGCAGTCAATAAACTAAAGTTGCTGTGTCAACTTTTCGTACTCATACTTCAGTATTTCTTTAAGGTAAATCATAATAACTGAAACCGCTTCAAGCATTTCTTTGGGAAACACTTAAACTGAGGAAAATCTTCAATGGTGGAAATAGAACACTGAGATCACACTGACCCTGGATCAATGAAACCAAACATTAAATTGGAATTCCACTGTATACTCTTCCTCAGTACTTTCAACTTAGTTTACCTGCTGACTGTTGTTTGGGTTGAATGGAGCGTTGGATTGCTGTGAAAGTCTGGGCTTCTCTTTGCGATTTCAGTGAACACAATGACAGTCGCTCCTCCTCCCCACCTGACACAGAACCTGAACTCGTATTCTCAGGCAGTTCATATGCATACAATGAACTGGTGACCAATGTTTTTATCTTCTGGTCATCCGGAGGAACATTCTGTAACAGAAGATAAAAAGTTCCTTTTCAAATAGTTTATAAAGCTTAAGTAACGACACACTGTTAAGAACAGAATCCTTAAGTCAGCTACAACCAATCCATATCAATATAAATTATTATGGTAGAGTCCATTTTCGCATTTTATTCCTACCCACGTATCCCAAACTATCAATTTCATCAAATTTTACTCATTAATATTTTCTCCTGCTGACTGGTTTGTATTCATGCTATATGTCTGGTATGTCACTTCAACAATTAACACCTCAGAACTGCATAAATTTCCCCTGTGGTACAGGGCTCATATTATATTGTAGCATCCTGTTTCACTCTTCACACAGTGTCAGTGGGTTTAGAGTCATGTGAGTGTCAATGACTATACTGTCCAGTTAAAAATCAGACTGGATCTCTCTGCATGAAATCCAGTATAAATTAATTAGAAACAGACCTGTGTCAGAATGTAAAGTGGTCCAACACTTTGAAAAATGCTCAAAAGAAACAGCAATATAATACTGTATTAAAACTCTAAATAAAAAATGCTGCCTGTTATGTTTCAACAGTGTCCAGTATTAAACTAATGATTCTATTGCTGGGAAGCAAAATCTTAAATGTCAGACAGTCCACATTTATGTAAATTTGTTTCCAAATTTGAAATGGAATTTCCAAACTATCTTCATTTAGTATTGTAACGTGTTTACGTTACCGAAGACGCCGTAGAGATGGTTAATTGGTTTATTGAGCAATCTACAAATAACGGCTACAATTAATTATCTCACAGTTGCGGGGTTTCACACTTTATAACCCTAAGCGCATTAATCTGTTAACACTGTTGCGGGGTTTCACGACTTATAACCCTATGCGCAAATCAGTTCACTCTGTCTTCAGTAGTAACACGTTGACAGTAGGGGAGCTATGTATCACTGTATCACGCGCTCCCAATTACACAATTACACACACGTCCGGATCTTCTTTCCGCGACGGCTGCTATACTCCAACTTGTAGTCGGCTGGCTGTTACTTTATAACTCGGAATGTCTTCGGCGGTAGCCACACTGGAACTCGAACTCGAACTCATCGATACGCACTGTGCATCCACTTATATAGCTGCAGTGCTTGCCTGTGGCGTAATGAGTGCCACGTCACAGTAGGACGTTGATTACGGTTACGTTAGCGTTGCGCGTTACGTCACCGCGTGACGTCACC